TGAATATTGTTCCTGCTACTGTTCATCGCTGAATTCCTCCTCCTTTCCTATTTCATTTTTCCAGGTACAAGTTCTGAATATCTCATGATGTAAGGTTCAACTCGAAGATGAAATGAAGGCAATATTATGCTATGATCTGTGCATATCTCATAATGCTCATATCTTATTATTTGGGTTATGATGTAGCTTAGTCTAATTCTGTTTAAGTAGCAAATTTTTATGTTGTAATTAATGCTGGACTGTTAGACTCACTAGATGTTTGGACTCTGCTTTGTCATTTCAGCTCTAATGTGAGTTAAGTTTCTTGTAATTGATGTGTCAAAAGAGGTTCAGTGTTCTGAGTTTATATTTACATGATTCACCCATCCCTATATCCCAAATCAGAGTATCTGCGAGATATGTGTGTAATTGAAGAACTGTGATTCAAGTAATGAATTTATGGTTCAACAAATCTCAAAATTGTGAGTTATGTGGGTTTTCATTGTTACTGATAAATTTACTATTAGGATTCAAGGGCTGTATAAGGTGTTGATAATTTAGGTTGTTCAGGGATGAGTGAATTACTATTATTTGGCATGTTCAAGCATTTTTTTTTTTGGGCAGCTCTTTATCAAATAATTAGTACACTGTGATCGTTGTTTAGTCACGACAAATTTGGGTCAATATGCATGTTGAAATGAATTTGTCTCTGGTTTAGTTAATTTGTGTCAAAGGATTTAATTCATAATTCAAATTTGTTAATTATACCTCATGCTTATGTGTTAATATCAATTATGCCCATACTACGGTGTCTTGGGTAAAAGCCAGTCGGATCGTAAGAACCAGGCCTAACGAGGGCCCAATTATAATCTCTGCCCTTTCATGAGCATACCCCTGGGCCTAGCTTCATCTGGAGCCCAATCTATTTTTATGCATTCATTCTGCAGCATGTCTATTCACATTTGGTTTATGAAACTGGGCCAATGTCAAAATCAGAAGCCCTAAGCTGGGCAAAAATTCTAGTAGAAACAGCAGTATTTTCCTTCTTCCTGGGTTAATTTTGAAGCCCAAAAATGCTGAAAGTTTGAATTTGTGTTAAGTTTGTGAGATTAATTCTTATAATACGGGTTTTGGGCCTTCCGAGCTAGGTAGCATATTTGAATTAGGAGGCTTTCCTCTTGTTCAAGTGTGGACCTGAGTTTGAAGCTCGAATCCCGCGAAAGGTCCTCTAATAATGGTAATTAATGATGCTAATTAATTAGGGCCCTTTTAGAGACAACACTTTAATAGAAAATCGTAGTTTCTTTTAGGATGGCCTTTAAATACAAATGAGACGAGCCTCGCCGCACAAAATATATAAATTGCGGGGCCCTCATTAAATGCTTATATTAAAATACTTAGAATTCGGGACGTGCCGTTTAGCGAATTTTCACGGCCTCCCGCAAAGATAATAACACGTTAGTCGCTTTAGGCGCGCTTTTTAATAATCTTACTTTCCTAAATACGGGTGTGCATTTCATGCAACCCAAATCCAAATCCCAAAACGTTGGATAAAAATGTGTCGAGGATCCGGGTGCATTTCATGTGACGTGATCCGAAAATACGTTTTGAAACGACGTTCACTTTCTTAAAAGATTTCTAACTAAAAGCGGTTAAATAATTCTAAAAATGTAATAGGATAACATGTACTAAAATCAGATTTTTTCCAAATATAGCAGTTGAGTGACCGTGCTAGAACCACGGAACTCGGGAGTGCCTAATACCTTCTCCCGGGTTAACAGAATTCCTTACTCGGATTTCTGGTTCGCGACTGTTAAACAAAGTCAAACCTTTTCCTCGATTCGGGATTCAAACCGGTGACTTGGGACACCATAAATCTCCCAAGTGGCGACTCTGAATCTCTTAATATAAACGAATCCCGTTTGATTGTCCTTTAATTGGAAAAACTCCTTTATTATACCCTTCACGGGGTGTAGTAGCGAAAAAGGAGGTGTGACAGTCCTTATTATGTAGGATTTAATTAAAATTCACCTATTTTGATTTTGTAGTTAATAACATCCATTATGTTAGAAATAGATATCTGGCAAATATTAGATTTGGTTGACCTTGCTTAGACTATTATCGGATGAACATACAGAAACTAGGCTTATATATGAAATAGTTTATATATGAGCAGTGGCGAAGCCACATGGTGATAAGGGTGGTCAGTTGACCACCCTTCGTCGAAAAATTGCACTGTGTATATAGGTAAAATATTACGTTTTAGAAGTATATAACACATACTGAACACTCTTTGTCGGAATTTTTTTTACTTCTTTTAAATTTGAACACCCTTGGGGAAATTCCTAGCTTCGCCACTGTATATGAGTTGCACAAGTATTTCTCTTTCTGTCTCTTAATGTTTGCTTCACAATTGTACACTAATAAGGAATCTGTTCGGGTAGTTATGCATGTACAATAAGGTTCTGTAAAATATATTTATACTTTCGATAACCGACATTGTCTAAATTACGATGCGCAAATTAATTTCAATAGTTTACCCTATTTGTTTTGCTTGCTGTTATCTGAAATGAAAGTAGTTTTGCATGTGTACTCCGTCTATGTTTTGCTTCTTTCTTAGGATACGATTCAGTTCCTTTGTGTTAAATATAATGTTGACCTTTAAAATCGAACAATCAAATTCCTTCACTATGTTTCTTCCTGTCATGCTGCTGATGCCTCAGAAAATTGATATCTGCTTCATAATTGGTTGTGCATTCATTATTGGCTCATTCTTTGCTGACAAAGGTCCAAAGAACCAACTCACACGCATGACATGAAAAGAGTTTTTGTCATCCTCACTTATTGTTTTGCCTTCTTTTATGTTTAACCTGTTACTTTTGGAAATATTTAACAACACAATTTATTCCTTTGTGATAACTTAATTTTTTGCAATCTCCTTATTCTTCCTTCCTTCGCGTGACACTTGCATTTACCGGGCTATTTGTTGGCAGCATGGTAAGGACAATTTATGTCTCTATGGTGCTTAACAGTTATATTCTGTCCAAATGCAACCTAACTGATAGACTCAATAACTGACCAAACAGTTTGAACCAGCTCACACATATGACATCAAGAGAGTTATTTAGTCATCCTCACTACTGATTTTGCCTTCTTTTTTTCCTAACCTGTTGCTTGTGAAAATATTTAAGAGCACATTTTTCTTCCTTTGTGATAGCTAAATTTTCTGCAATTTCATTATTCTTTCAATTCCTTCGCCAGAGACTTCTATTATGACTAAGCAAGAGGAAGACCTTGAAAAGAGACAACCTGCATCTTAGAAGTTACAAGTCCAGTTAAATTTAGGATAGTTTATGAGGATTAAGATAAAAAATTTCGAAAGTCAGTTTTTAGACTTCTTTAGCCAATTAATATTTTTTCCCTCTTCACTTATTTGAATTTAGAGGAGTTTCTGAAAGTAACTATAGGTTGAAGGGTGAGAAGTGAAGCTAATCTCTGTTTATTTACTCTTTAATAGGTTATCCGCCAAGGAATGCATTTTAAGATATGTCTTATATCAAATAGAGTATGATTGTTGTTGAATTACCAATTCTCGAGTTTCATATATTTCTGGTCATTTAGAATTGTGATATTGTCTTTGCTCGTGATATTTTTGGCTTCCGGTATAGTTTTACTTTTTAAGGAAAAGGTTTTCTCTTTTAATTTCTAAAATAAGTGTAGTTTTGGCAGCATGATAGGGACAATTTATATCTACATTGTTCTTCACGGTTATATTCTTTCGTAATGCAGCCTCACTTATGGACTCAACAACTGACCATACATTTTGAGTTTAACGGCGGGGAAGAGAACCATGATGAGGTTGGTCCATTAACTGTTTCTACTGTTTGGGAGATAACATTGGATCAACTTTTTACTGTTTCGAAAGGTAAATGTCAAAAACATATCATTTCTATGATTGCTCATGTGAAATAGGATTACTCTCCGAGGTGCAGAAACATCTACTATAAGTATCAAAATTATTTACTAACGCTACGATAGTACCTGACAACTAAGGTCTGCTCTATCTTTTTCTTTCTTCTGCACATTTCTGTAAGCTAAGATGCTCTGGCTCATTTATCATCTCCTTTTTACTTAATGACTAGATTAGTTCAATATTGAAATTATTTATTTTACAAGTAAAAACTCTATCGCGTGCAGGAAAATTAAAAAAAATATAGGTAGATCATCACTTCTGCCCTTTTGTTGTTTAACATAATCGGGTGCATGTCCTTACCCATTAATTAAAAAATAAAAAGCAGATAATCATTTCTTACTTTTCTTCCTTGCACCATACAGATTGGATTAAGCAAAGGAAAAACCCGATTGCTGCAAAATTTCAAAATTCATATGTTTAGTTGCATGACATGATATTTGACGTAAATTGTGGCAGTAGCAGGACAACGTCATAGTATATCTATTATTTTTTTTAGGTTTGAACTGAACGACGTCCTAAAATTTGTGTCAAGCAGTTTGATTGGAGTTAGCATCGAATTTAACATTTTAAAATCTAAACTCTATGCTTCTTTGTTTGAGGGGAAGAGAACCATGTTTTGATTGTTCCATTAACTGTCTCTATTAAATGCTATTGTTTGGGAGATAACTCAGTTGGTGGGACCATCCATCGTAACTACGATTTACTCCTCCTGCATAGGCTTGATATCGTGGGAGTTGACTAATTAATGGATTACTTGGTTGATCAGATTAACGTCCTACAATAAAAAATAAACAACCATTTAAGGTTGCATTTCTTATTAATGTTGTCCTTACTAGCTGTTTACAACAAAATATTACTTCATGACTTGAATGTATGTATATCCAGTACCTTTATATGTTCATAAAATAATTCCATTTGTATCTTTGTGTCTACCGCAGTTTTCAAATAATATTTTCTAATAAAAATAATACTATTTAATATTTTTTGCCCAACGCGGGTAGGTATACTAGTTAAAAAGAAAAAGAGAAAAGAGAAGAGATCAATTAAAAATGACAAAGTTTGAGTTGGACTTCTAACATAAAATCTTGGTGGACACGTATATTTGGTCTTTTATAGAACTCACCACTTTCAATAAGAACACCGATCAAATCCGATCCAGAAAATGGAAATACAACTGGTTGAGATGTGCATGGAATCGGCGACGCAGAGCCGTGACGCCGTCGAAGCGTGGCGGAGACAGCGGCGGACACTGGAAAGCATGCCATCTCACCTCGCCGAAGCTCTCATTCACCGCCTTCTTCGCCGCCGTCTCCTCTTCCCCTCTTTGCTCGAGTAAGTATATCCTAATTATCACCTCATTTCTTTTATTTTTCAGTACATTTCATAATTTGCCACTGTCCTGAAATTACAAATAAATGTGATCTTTCATAATCTAGCGGTTATGGATCAGCTCGAGTTGTAATATTAAAGTGAATTTTGGAAAAATCATATGAACAGTTTGCAGCTTTAATAACCATCTCAACTTTTAAAAGTCAAAATCAATCTGTGCGTAGTTTGACTTCAGAAATTTGGTCAGATTGATAGTTGAAATGAGAAAATGCTGAACGGAATAGGTTAAAAGGAGTAGTTTAGTTTGTAGATAATTGACGAACAAAATGGCCTGTCAAAAAAATTAACAAAAAAATGGGAGAACAAAAGTAACTGAGAGTGTATTGATGCAAGTGAAGGAGTTGAATTACTTGTTATATTTTGGTCATATCTTTTTGTTATGGGCCCTTCAACCATTGAGGCTAAGCGTTATAGTCAAATTACAATTGTTTAATGTGGTAGCTGGGTAGTGGTTCTCAAAGTTATGAGCACCATATTTGCGTTGGCCTGAGAAAAATACATATATGTTTGCACTTTGCAGGGTATTGGTTGTCCAAGTATTTGAAATGTTATTCACATCCTTGAAGCTGCATAATTATTGAATTGTATTGCTTCCTCAGTGAAATAAGGCTCCAAGTCTTGGACTTAGGTGATGCAATGATGATAGTATTGTCATCCGTAACATTTGAGAGACTATGTAGCTATTTGATTGCAAAGTTGATGTTTTCCCATTATTATACTAAATCTACAGTAGTGTAACATCAAAACCTAAAGCTGCTGACTTCTTTCTTCTGTGTGTTGGATTCATGCATTATCTACTCCAAAAGCTGATATATATTTTCTTGTCTAGAGTGTTTAAATTTTGTGTCGAGGAGATCGACTTAAGGGGGGAGAGCTGTGTGGATGCAGAATGGATGGCATATATAGGTGCTTTTGATCACTTGCGCTCTCTAAATTTATCAGATTGTAACAAAATTAACAATTCAGCCATTTGGGCTATTACAGGTAACCTTTGACCTCTTATATTTTTCAGATAAATGCAACTAACCTAGCTCATATTCCGTTATATTCTCCTCTAACCATTATTTCTTTATTTTTCCCCTTGGTTAACTTGTATTGGTTCATAAATATCACATGACACTCTAAATGTTTATTTACAGAGGTCTGCTTTTGTTCTCCTCAGGAATGACAAACTTAAAGGAGCTTGACCTCTCCAGGTGCTCAAAGATCACTGACGGTGGAATTAGACATCTAACATCCATCCCAAATTTGGAAAAGTTGTGGATTCCAGAAACAGGTGTCACAAATGATGGTGTGATACTCCTGTCTTCATTAACTAAGTTATCTGTGTTAGATTTGGGAGGCCTGCCTGTGTCTGATTCGGCTTTGGATAATCTTAAGGTAAATCCTCTTTTTATGAGGAAATTTTGAGGTAGATCATCTGTTGTTAACATGTCTTTAAGATCTTGTCTTTCTTCTCCCCCACCCTTTCCTCTTGGCGTACTAAACGTTTTATTTCTTTAAGCTTTGGGTTATGAGAAATTCTCATCCATTCACAAAGACCTATGTAATGTTTTAGGAAACATTCAAGGTTAATAATGTTTCTTAAAATTCTCAGTACCTTAAAATCTCAATTCTTACCACTAAGTAGAACGCTGAAAATAATTTCATCATTCAAATCTATTTTGAAAAAACAAGTAGCTCTGTAGATGTTTCTTTCGCTAAGTAAAATGTCACAATTTCATACATTTGAATAATTCAAATCTATTTTGAAATGAAAAGATGGCTTGGTCCACTTGTGCCCTTTAAGTTACCTTGAAGGCTTAAAGCAGTTGCTTTAGTGTCTTAGGCTTGAGCTAGCCTTGTTTAGCTTACCCACTGGACTAAACTGTTATGGATTGTTCTTTTAACCATCTAGTCCTTTAATTGTACTTATTTAGAATGATTGAACTTACTCAAGGTAAATGACATGTTTTATGGTTCGGGTAGGTTCTCCAAAAGCTGCAACATTTGGATCTTTGGGGGAGTGAAGTATCAAACAAAGGAGCATCTTATCTTAAATGGTTCCCAAGATTGAGTTCTCTGAATTTGGCCTGGACCAAGGTCACTATGTTGCCAAGTCTGCCTTCTCTTGCATGCCTAAATATGAGCAATTGCACGATACATTCTTCATTCGAAGGAGAAGGACGGAAAGCTCCCCTTGCAAAGCTTATTCTGTCTGGATCAACCATAAGAGATGTCTCTGAAGCTTTCCAACACCTTGAAACCTCTTCCCTCTCTCTCCTGGATCTTTCCAATTCATCTCTTAATTCTTACTGCTTTTTGCCGTATATGAGTGCTATATCAGATTTAGATCTCAGGGGTACATCTGCAGGAGATGAGTCAGTTGAACACATTGCATTTATAGGTCAAAATTTACGCCATCTAAATCTCAGCAGGACAAAATTAAGCAATGCAGGACTGGAAATCTTAGCTGGTTTTGTTCCCAAGCTTGAAACTTTATTATTATCTTACACAGCCATTGACGATTATGCTATCCCCTTCATGAGCACCATGCCTTTGTTAAAAAGTATCAATCTAAGTGGTACAAATATCAGAGGTATGACATGTTCTTTTCCTCAAAACTTCCTTTTACTTTTTGCATTTAGTTTCTTTTGTGGTCCTCAATTTCTCTTTTATTGGAAACTAGATAGGTGTAGAGGATGCTTGAATCCTTAAAGACAACACCATAATGTCAATATGTATCTCACTTCTAGGCTAGACTATTACACGATGAACACACTTGTAGAATTTCAAATTTGTGATGAAAATCATTTACAAAATATCCAAGTGTGCTTTAAATTTATTTTCAGATGTCATCACAGATGGATGCATTTTATGCCTTATCCAACCAAAATTAATTAAGAGTGGAACTTAAAATAGCAGTTCAGTTGCCTATTGAAGGAGACTTCTTTTCCTGTAGGGTTAGAACAACATTAGTCTCTTCTCTCTTCACTCACATGGTTGTGTAATCTGCCACAATGCCAGGTATGGTCAACGAGGTGGATTCTGATCCTAATTGCATTTCATCGCTGTCTGGGTTATGTAATCTTGATCATTTGGAGAGATTGGATTTGGAGGAGACTCGAATCAAGGATTCAGCTTTGGCTCCTTTGCCGAGCTTTCGTAAATTGAGCTATTTATTTTTACGGAGTGGTTCCCTTACTGATACCTCTTTGCATCAATTGTCATCTATTAGAAGCTTGGTAACACTAGGGATTCGTGACGGCGTGCTCACTAATGCTGGGCTCATCGTATTCAACCCTCCACCATCTATGACGATTCTTGATATCAGGGGGTGTTGGCTGTTGACAGAGGATGCACTGTTGTCATTTCAGCAAAAGCATCGCCAAGTTGAAGTAAGGCATGATCTTCTTAGTATTGCATTGGTCAAAAGGTTATCTATTCACTCATCTTTGTCCCAAGTGACCACCTCACGGACCAAATTACACAAACATAAGCAGGGAGGGCCATCTGCATCTCCCCTTAGATCTAACAGAGACAGTTTCCTTGGTGAGGCATTGTCAAACTTTTCTTGGTCTAAAGTTTATGCTTGTATCTGTCTTGTCTGATATTACTTCTTTCATTATCTCAAACTAGATCAAAGACTGAAGTACACCAGAGAAGAACTATTTGCACTGAGGTCCGCGTCTGCCCCTAATTCCAGGGATAATGTTGATCTGATACCTCATGAGCTTGCAAGTGATGGATAAAATTTGTTGGGTTCAGTTCATGCATGTATTCTGTTTCTTGAGCTTCTTTTTCAATGTAAGAATTTTTAATATTTCTTTTATGAATGATGCAGAGAGTGACTCAGGATGGTAAATAGTACAAGCCCAGGCCATGTTAGGGCTGTCGTAACGTTCCACTGGCTTGTTGTCTCAGTTACGTGGCATGTGCTTCTGCCCAATGACCTTACAAAATTGTCAGAGTGCTTTTTGATGCAAGTTGCGGAACTTCTGATCTGGCAAAGCTCAGTTAAGCAGCAATATTTACACATCCTGCTGCTTCGTGGATTCGTATAAGATTTTATATTGACTCAAATTACCAACAGTTTTGAAACACACAAGGAACAAGATTTCTTAGGAGAAGTGCTATCCCAAGCAACTCAGGACTGGATTTGTTGGATAATCGCCAAGTTTTTTGTAAAGTTGTGTGTGTGTAGTTATGATTCTGGTCATTTTTGTAGCCTTTCATTGTATTTTACGTGTTGTGGTCATTCTGGGAACGTTATTTATAATGTGTACAAACCTTGAAGTATCATTTTTGAGATATGGATCACAAATTTACATAAGAAGTAAAAGAAATGACTGCTACAGCATCACATAAGGAGTTACTCTGGAAAACTCTAGTGAGAAAGCTTTTATACAACATTTTGTTTGACAGAGTAAGAGAAGTGGTAAAAATAGAATCTGTAACTGGATCTTTTTGGCATTTTCAGGTAATACCCACATTAGCTATATTCATTTTAAACAATGTTTACTCAATTGTTTGATTTATTTGACTCCAATAAACTCATTTAGGTCAATTGATTTGTATTTTGAATTCATTCCAAACTGCCTACAAGTTAGTTCTTACACTAAATAGATCACCCTTCTCGAGTAGGGAAGAGAACTAAAATGGTTCCATGGATGGTAATAATGTTGGATTGGAGGATTTTATGAGACGAACGCTTAGGTTCATGATCTATCTTTTGTGCAATGCCTACATATAGTGGTGGCAAAATGGTTCAAAGAAAACAGTTAACCACCCATGTTATCCACTACAAAATGGGTTGGATAATGAACTTTTAAAAAACGGGTCAAATATGGATAAGAACTATATTATCCATTTAGAAAATGGATAACCAATAGGTAACCAATGGATAACCAATGAGTCTAACTTTGTAAAGCCTCAAATTGGGGGTTTCTCAAGTTAGGGAGACTAAGAATTTCCCCAAAAGTGATCATATGCAACAAGTCATGGATAATATGGTTACCCATATTATCCGTTAATCCGTTTTCTATCCGTATTAAATATGAGTCGGATTGGATAATGTCACGACCCGGATTTTCCACCATCGGGAGTCGTGATGGCGCCTACTGTCGGAGCTAGGCAAACCAAGCATTAAAACATTTTCTGATAACATCTCAACGATATAAATAAAACGAGTCATTTAAATAAAAGCGGAAGTCTTAAAAAAACATAGATAACTGAAAACCAAATGCGGAAGTTTAAATACAACTCTACCCAGATCCGGTGTCACTAACTCACGAACTACTAAAGAGTGCTAAAAACATGTCTGAATAGAAGTACATCAATGTTTGTCTCGGTACAAGGAAAACAAACTAATAACATAGAAGGGACTTCGGCCTGCGGACGTCAGCTAGGCTACCTCGAAATTCCCTGGACTGAAGTCAGCTCCCGATCAAATCCTACTGCTGAGGCCCAAAAGCTGCTCCTGGATCTGTGCAAAAAGATGCACAGAGTGTAGCATCAGCACAACCGACCCCATGTGCTGGTAAGTGCCTGGCCTAACCCCGGCGAAGTAGTGACGAGGCTAGACAAGACCTACAAAAAACAACCTGTGCAGATATATATGTATATACAAGTGCAACGAAATAACAGCAGAAAATACCAATTAAGGCGGGGAGGGGACATGCTTAGGGGAAATACAGATGAAAACAACTTATCAGAAGTAAACACGAAACTACATCAGATCTCATAATCTATATAAGTGGTCGGCGTACCACACGATCCCATTTCATAATATATAACTAGGTGGTCGGCGTGCCACACGATCCCATTTCAGCAAATATAAGTGGTCGGCATGCCACACGATCCCATTTCATGATATATAAGTGGTCGGCGTGCCACACGATCCCATTTCATAATATATAAGTGGTCGGCGTGCCACACGATCCCATTACATAATATATAAGTGGTTTTCCGGCAAGGGAGAATACGACTAAGCAGTTAAATCCCGGCAAGGGAGCAACAACAATAACTTACACGTCCCGGCAAGGGAATAATCACATCTCTTTCTTTTACGTTCATTTCTTACTTTTTAATCAGGTCAAAAATCGAGCCAACGCTCCAAAGAGTTTACACATCATATTTCCTTCTCATTCTCTTCCATGATAATGTTAGAAAGCCATCAATTAACAAGGAAGAGTCACTAACAGAATCCCGACTAAGCACAAATAAAGACCCACGTCATGCTAAGACACCGTGTATAAGATACTCGTCACCAATGCCTATACACCGTACTCAACATTTAGCAATTAGCAAATAATACTCTAATCCTATTCCCTCAAGCCAAAGTTAGATCAAACACTTACCTCAAATGCTCCAAACTCAACTCAAGCCTCTAGTATAGCTTTACCCTTCGAATTCACCACCAAACCGCTCGAATCTAGTTACGAGTTACTTGAATGTATCAACAAATGCTAATCGAATAAATTTGAATGCATGAAAAGTGAATTTTCCAAAGTTTTACTCAAAATTTCCCAAAACGCCCCCGGGCCACGTGGTCAAAACTCGAGGTTCGAACCAAAACCCGGTTACCCATTCCCCCATGAACTCAAATATGTAAGTTATTTTGGAATCGGACCTCGAATTGAGGTCCAAAACCCCAATTTTAGAAAACCTAGGTTCTACCTAAATTCCCAATTTCCCCATTAAAATCTTGTGTTTGAAGTTTGAAATTATGTTTAAAGATGTTAAGGAGTAAGAAAATGAGTTAGATACATCACCAATCGTTTTGGAGAAGAAGAATCGTTTGGAAAATCGCCTCTTGTGTTTTGGGTTTTGAAAAAGTGAAACATGACTGAAAATCCCGACCTTATATACCCCTCTGAAAGGCTCAGCGCGGACCGCGCATAAGTGCACCGCGGCCGCGCTGAGAAGCTGGTAATCTACCCTCTCTGAACCCACCCAGCGCGGACCGTACTGTTTTGGTACGCGGCCGCGCTGGTCAACTTGAACCACTGGCCCTCTGAACCTAGCCACGCGGACCGCGCAAGAATGCACCGCAGCCGTGCGGCTTCCAGCGGGGACCGCGCGAAATCGACCGCGGGCGCGCTGGGGGCCTGCAACTCCCTGAACCTGCAACCATTGATATTTCTAAGTCTAAGACCTCCCGGGACCTACTCAAAACTCACCCGAGCCCTCGGGGCTCCAAACCGAACATACACATGACTCCAAAAATACCCTACGGACTCGTCCGTGCGATCAAATCGCCAAAACAACATCATTAACATCAAATTAGGCCTCGAGACCCATGATTTCCTTCCAAATTTTCATAAAACATCAAGTTTAGAGCTTTAAGTTTAAAACACGTCAAACGACGTCCAAATTCAACCAAACTTTACAACAATTGCTTAAACCATATATGAGACTCGTACCGGGCGTCGGAACCAAAATACGAGCCCGATACCACAGTCTTTTAATCAGTCTTCATCTCCAATTTCCTTAATAATTTCAGAAAAATAATTTCACAGAAAAGTTCATTTCTCGGGCTCTAGACCTCGGAATTCGACTCCGGGCATATGCCCGAGTCCCATATTTTTCTACGGACCCTTCGGGACCGTCAAATCACGGGTCCGGGTCCGTTTGCCCAAAACGTTGACCGAAGTCAAACTTAATCAATTTAAATAACAAGATTTAACAATTTTCTCAAAAATTTTATATTTAAACTTTCCGGCTACGCGCCCGGACTGCGCACACAACTCGAGGCAACCCCAAATGAGGTTTCCAGGGCCTCAGAAGTACAGAGGGAGTAGGAATACAGGTGATGACCCCTTTGGGTCGTCACATTCTCCATCTCTAAAACAACCGTTCGTCCTCGAACGGACAAAAGAAAGGAGTACCTGAGTCGGGGAAAAGATGGGGATAACGGCTCCGCATATCAGACTCGGACTCCCAGGTCGATGCCTCAGGAGGCTGACGTCTCCACTGAACACGAACAGAAGGAATACTCTTGGATCTCAACTGACGAACCTGCGGTCCAGAATAGCTACCGGCTCCTCCTCATAGGATAAGTCCTTGTCCAACTGGACAGTACTGAAATCTAACACGTGGGTAGGATCACCGTGATACCTCCGAAGCATGGATACATGGAAAACTGGATGCACGGCTGGTAAGCTGGGCGGCAACGCAAGTCTATAAGCCACCTCTCCCACTCGATCAAGAATCTCAAACGGCCCAATGTACCTAGGGCTAAGCTTTCCCTTCTTCCCAAATCTCATCACGCCCTTCATAGGCGACACTCGGAGCAAGACCCGCTCACCAACCATGAAAGCCACATCCCGAACCTTACGATCCGCATAACTCTTTTGCCGCGACTGAGCCGAACGAAGCCTGTCCTGAATGATCTTGACCTTATCCAAGGCCTCCTGAACTAGATCGGTACCCAATAACCGAGCCTCTCCCGGCTCAAACCATCCCACTGGAAATGATAGATACCGGCACACCATGAAGGCGAACAATCTCTCTGATGTAGATCTCAGCTAACCTCTCGGATGAATAGGTGGCTACCACAGGAATGAAATGCGCTGACTTGGTCAGCCTATCAACAATAACCCATATCGAGTCGAACTTCTTCCGAGTCAATGGAAGTCCAGTAACGAAATCCATGGTAATCCTCTCCCACTTCCACTCGGGAAGCTCAATCCTCTAAAACGAACCACCAGGCCTCTGATGCTCATACTTAACCTGCTGACAATTCAAACATCGAGCCACATATGCAACAATATCTTTCTTCATCCTACGCCACCAATAATGCTGCCACAAGTCCTGATACATCTTCGGGGCGCCCGGGTGAATAGAATACCGAGAACTATGGGCCTCCGCTAAGATCAACTCTCGAATCCCATCGACATTGGGCACACAAACTCGCCCCTGCAATCTCAAAACACCATCATCATCTAAGGTCACCTTCGTGGCACCTCCACGCTGCACCGTGTCTCTCAGGACACACAAATGGGGATCATCAAACTGCCGATCACGGATACGCTCCAATAATGAAGAACGAGCGACCGTGATTTCCAATAATGACACAAATGATGACCCATGATTTCCTTTCAAATTTTCATAAAACATCAAGTTTAGAGCTTTAAGTTCAAAACACGTCAAACGACGTCCAAATTCAACCAAACTTTACAGCAATTGCGTAAACCATATATGAGACTCGTACCGGGCGTCGGAACCAAAATACGAGCCCGATACCACATTCTTTTAATCAGTTTTCATCTCCAATTTTCTTAATAATTTCAGAAAAACAATGTCACATAAAAGTTCATTTCTCGGGCTCTA